CCTGTGTAAATCTTCTGATGGATTCTCAGCATTCTAAGGATCACTTCCAAAGTCGTTGGCCTGGCTCCTATTTACAAAGCTAGACTTTCATCCCATGCTCCTTCTAATCTAAGCTGAACTGCTCTCAGATGTCTTAAGCACTGTGCTTTTCAGTCTGTGTCTTTACCCATACAGTTTCTTCTGCCTAGAGTTGGTTAACCTCTGTTTATAGCATAAGTATCATCAGTTCAGATAAATCTTAACCAAGTACCTCCCCCCAAGTCCTTATGGATTAGGTAGCTTTTCTTAGTGTTCATGTAGTAGCCGCTGAATGCCACTATTGTTCCACTCTACTGACTCATCTGTCTCCCATTCTGGATTATAAACTCTTTTTTAGGGCAAGGAGCATGCTATTGCTACTTTTTAAAAAAATATTTGTAGCCTCCCCACTGTCCCTAGTGAACTCAAGTGTTTTTAAATTAATACATTTGCATTGTAAACTTACTCCTGGCTTCAAGATTAAAAGACACAAGAGCAACTTTGCAAATTCACTGGGGATCTTGCCTATCCCTTGCCTTTCATCTTTATGCCCTGTGATTTGGGGGGAGGCAGGCAGCTTTTACTGTCAATTGTGGGTTACTGATTGGGTGAGCACTAGTCTAGATGATGAAATTGTTTGCATTTAGTTTTGGAATTGCCTGAAAATTTGGATTTAATGGGATCTTATATTTTTGGAACAGATTCAGGAGTTACTTGGTTGAGGCCATATGTGCGGCATGTCCCATGCTGGTCACTGATCACTGGTTAAGTCTTATCCTCCATGGACTGACTTTCTGGATTATGTGTTGGTCTCTTATGACTTTGGTTGGCTTTATTTAGTTCATAAGAGCCTGACAGAGCAGGTCATAATAAAAAATAAAGTTGTGGACCAGGAAACCTATATACTATATAAAATCTATTCCCTATAAGTCTTCAACTATGTGGTCTGGACTATCTTCTCTCCCTAACTCCAAATGGGAGGTCTGCCTGCTCCTCTCCATTCTCTCATTTGACATCTCCTCACCTGTCAGAGATCCATCCCTTCTCAATTGTGAAGCTGATCTCTTTCTATTTCTTGTAATCCAAGATTAGGCCAATCAAGAGATTACTAATGCTGGATAACAAGGTTACAGAAGAGCCAGGAGTCACAGTCTTTAACTTTCTGCCGAGGATTGCTAGAAAACTAGAAAAAAGTTGCCCATGGAATGAAAATTGTTTTGCAAGATTGCATGATAACATCTGACTCATCTGCTCAAAGATTGGAGTTTGTGACGGTCTGTCTAGGTATGAATCTTTACCAAGGGCCTCTTGTTACAGTTTCAGGTATTCTCGAGGTCCCCTTGGAGCTGACAAAAGTGGTTAGTGCTGGGATTTCTTCCTTCCCGGGGTGCAAAGAGAAGGGGAGAGGGAAAGGAAGATGGAGATAGTGGATGGAATGAGTTAGGGACTATAGTGAAAATGGCCAACCCAAGACTGGGTAAGTAGGAATGGGTGTGTTAATCTCTGTCTGGTGGTATTTCTAGAAAGGAGGAATGATTTTCAAGGATTCTTATTTAATTCTGGATTCCCGAGCTGAAAGTGTCCCCCAGAGCTTACCTGGGTACAGGTGTATAGCTGGTTTTCTAAGGATCTCAGTTTGCTTTTCAGTTTGTCTTCATTAAGCTGTCCCTGGAGCAAATGGGAAGGTTTAATGAATTCGGTCCAAAATATAGTTGGCAAAGAGTTATTCTGTATTGCCATTCTGCTGGCCACCACAATGAACTCTTTTAGGAGGTAGGCCAGAGCATAGATGGCAACGGATGTTGGATAGAAGAGGATCTTCTTCTCTTTTTCCGGACAAGGAAAAGAAAGAATCAGACTGGCCTACCACATCCTCTTTTTTTTCTCTCTCTAACTCTTTCTCCTTCCCAAATCATCTTTTTACCTTGAAGTTCTCTATCAAATGCCCAGGGTATTATATCAGGGGGCTACTGGAAGGAAAGCTTCTAAGCAGTCTTTTCTCTGATTACCTTCCTCCCCTGTCTATGCACTACCACACTCCTCCTCTTCTCTCAGTCTTATTCCTGGACTCTTACCTCTAAAGTATAGGCCATTAAGACTAATGAGGTTTCCCTTCCTAGAGGAAATATGTACTTCCTCCCTTAGCCCCTGTGAGGTGCTGAACTATGCCTCCTTAGAGTTCCTATGTTGAAGTCCTAACCTCAGGTACTTCAGAATGTGACGGTATTTGGAGATAGGGTCTTTATTTTTTACTTTTTTTTTTTTTTTTGAGATAGTCTCGCTCTGGGTAGAGTGCCCTGGCATCATAGCTCACAGCAACCTAAAACTCTTGGGCTCAAATGATTCTCCTGCCTCAGTCTCCTGAGTGGCTGGGACTATAGGCGCCTGCCACAACGCCTGGCTATTTTTTCTATTTTTGGTAGACGTGGGGTCTCACTTTTGCTCAGACTAGTCTTGAATACCTGACTCAAGGGATCCACCTAACTCTGCCTTCCAGAGTGCTAGGATTACAGGCGTGAGCCACTGCCTGGCCAGAGATAATTAAGTTAAAATGAGGTCATTACAGTGTGCCCTAATCCACCATGACAGGAGTCCTTATAAAAAGAAGAGGTCAGGACACTGGGGTATACCCAGGGAGGATCACTTGAAGACACAGAGAGAAGATGGCCTTCCAAAAGCTAAGGAGAGAGGCTACAGGAGAAACTAACCCTAATTAACCTTCTCTCAGACTTTCAGCCTCCAGAACTATGAGAAAACAAATTTCTGTTGTTGAAATCCCCAGTGTGTGGTACTTAGTTATGGCAGCTCTAGCAGATTAATACACTCCCCTCTCTGGGGTGCGTGTGTATGCGCGTGCACGCACACACACACACAAACACAGGCACAAAACTCAAGACATTCTTTAAGACAGCAATAAACAGAAGGAGAGATCTAGAAGCTGGGTGGGGGTGGCAGGGGATGGCTGGGGGCTTCCCAGAATGTCACATTCTGTTTACTCATAAGCCAGGTCTAATAGTGTTTTGTACATTCCAAGAAGGATGTTAGTCTCAGGGCAAGAGTGGAAAGAGGCCAGCCTGAAAGGCCAACCTCTGGTTTCTCAATTCTTCAGTATTTCACCTGAGTAGTTAATAACTTCCTTCCTGCTTTGTTGTTTACTCCACTTTCAGACTTGTGCCTTTTTCCCAGGTATGGGTTTTGTTCTTCCAGCCTTGAGTTTCATTTAAGGTGTATTAGTCTATGGAGTTAGGCAGGAGTGTCATCCATGAGAGCACGTTTTCCAGAGAAAGGGCCATGAGTCTCTAGCAGTGACTGATTTTCATATCCTTTCTCCGGCTTTTACCAACAAGGTCCTGTGGGACACTTGTGTGGGGTCTAGGAATTCCACTTTTCTTTAGGCCCGAGACATCACAGCCATTCCCAGTCAGAAGACTTGGGTATTTCCAACCCTCATAATGGTTCCAGTCTATAGCAGGCTGGTGGCAGAGGAGGGGAGTCTGTTTTGAGATCTGTCTCCCTCAGTGGGTATCAGGGTGCGGGGGGAGGCAGGAAGTGGTATCTCACAGCTCCTGTTTTGATCTTGTTTGGCTGACTCCTCTTCTAACCGTGGGAGCCACGGGTGCCCCCACCCTTTCTGCTTCCTGCGTTACTCAACTGGGCCTTGAAAAAGCAAAAAGCTTTGCCAAAAATAATTTTTTAAAGTGCCTCCTGCTATTAATGTTTTTCCTAATGTCTCATGTGAGAGAGAACTGGGAGTCAGGGATTTGGCATCTAGAATAACCACAGGGTTTTGGGACAGATAAAAGAGATGGACAAAGGCTTCTACTGTTTGGGCTTTGAAGTAACTGGTAAAACAGCTGCATTCCCCAGAGTGGCCTGTTCATTGTCAATCCACAGGTCCTGAAATCAACTGGCTGCATACCCACCTCCCTTGATCCAGATCTTCTGACTCCACGCATTTTGCCTTTGCCCAAACTCTTACCACGCAGAATGCAATCAAACCCACTCAGTTTAAGTTTTGCCTTGTGATAGTTTGATAAGAAAACAGGCCCAAGGCAATATTCCTGAATTTTCCCAGGCTCCTACTCTTTTTGGTTATCTCCTCCCTATTCCATAGTGGGCCTTTAGTCCAATATTTTGCCTCTTCCAACTGTTTTTGTATTTTAGCCTAACCCCCGATCACTTTTCCATTCATGTTGCAATAAAAGATCATTCATGATAGCCCCCTCCGTGGGGATGAAGGGCCACCCAACTCTGAGGCTTGGACAAAATGTTTTTTTCCACAGCTCTGCTTTCCCAGATTTCCCAAGGCAGGCAGGAAAGTTGCATCCAAGTTGTTGCAAATGGGGCACGTAGTTTCCTGGCCTGAGCTCCAGGTTTCCTCACACCGAAGCCCAGCATGTCACAGTGTGTGGGAAGAAGCACTTCGCCAGGCCTATTGCTAACCTTCTAGGCAGTTATGCCCTGGGGGCCAGAGCTCACAGGGCACAGTAACCACCACTGGAAAAGAGAGCAAGGTGGAGGCCATACACACCTGGTGCCGGTCTGAAGGCTTCAGCTCCTCCTGTGTGGGTTTCCCCTGTCTCTGATCTGTTCTCCAGAAGCACCACCACCTCACTGCAGAAGCACCAGCCCACAGCTCCTCTCTCTGCTCTAGCAGAGGCTGCTTAGGGCTTGCAGCCAATCCCCTGCTGTGCTGTCATCTCAAGATCTCACTTCCATGCTGCAGATTTTAAAACCCAAGTGTGCCGGTGTTGAGCGATTGCTTTCTCTCCTGGCTGAGCTGCTTCTGCTGGGAAGGTTGGATGCTGCTCTGCAGTCTCAGTAGTGCTCCTGGGCCTATCATAGCCAGCAAGCCCGGAGTCAATGTGGAGTAGAGCCCTGGGGTTCTGTAGTTTTGTGTGAGTTCCTCAGCATATGATGTTGGAGATCCAATCCATTGAGGTCAAATGGAAAAAATAAAGATCTGAACCAGTTTTGGCCCCTTTCCAATGCCACAGATTGGGGCTACCTTTACAATGAAGTCGAGGTATTCATTGGAGGGATGGAGAGTTGTCTTGTTTTTGAGGAAGCAAAAACTCTCAACTGAAAAGTTTGAGACTGTTACAGACCGGAAGTTGGGGGGTTGGAAGGGAGGAAGAAGAAGAGAAGGGTGAGGACTGGGAGGGGTGAGAAGAGGGGAGGGAGAAAACCACAGCCAGAGGAACTTCTGCTCTTGGGTTGGAGGATGGGGTGAAACCCCTCAGAGACTACCCTAGAAGTGTCTGTTTCTATGTCCCCTCCTTCCTCATTCCCACCAAGTTTGCCATAATTCCAGCTCCAATTGTGTCTAGCCCAGTGGTTCTCAACCTTCCTAATGCCACGACCCTTTAGTACAGTTCCTCATGTTGTGATGACCCCAACCACATAATTATTTTCATTGCTACTTCATAACTGTAATTTTTGCTACTGTTATGAATCGTAATGTAAATAGCTGATATTAGGCGACCCCTGTGAAAGAGTTGTTCGACCCCCAAAGGGGTCGTGACCCATAGGTTGAGAACCGCTGGTCTAGCCTGAGATATTACAAAACTCTTCGCTGACACCCACCCCTACTTGGAGCCAATCCTCATTGTTACACGTTAGAGAAACTTTTTAAGACTCAGATCTGATCATTTGAATCAATTGACTTTCACAGGCGGTGACTGAGCTCCTGCTAAGGATGGGCCATGCATTGTTGAATGCAAGCTTTTAAACCCTAATAAAGCACAGTTCCATTGCTACTGTGCTTATGGAACAGTTCCACTGCAACACTGCCTACGGCAGTGTTGCACAAACTGTGCACATGCGTTCTCGTGGATGTCTGATAAATATGGGGCTTTCCTTTAAGAAGAAAAGAGAAGAAGAAGGAGCAGATACACTGTTCACGGAAAAAGTTTAAGTCACATAATTCTAAAGACCTGTCTGAGGCCCTTTCTTTGGTACTACTCTGACATCATCCTTTCATTTAAAAAATTTTTTATTTATTTTATTTATTTTTATTTTTTGAGACCAGAGTCTCACTTTTGGTTAGAGTGCTGTGGCATCATTGTAGCTCACAGCAACCTCAAACTTGAGCTTGACCAATCCTCTTGCCTCAACCTCCCAAGTACCTGGAACTACAGGTGTTCACCACAACACCTAACTTGTTCTTTTGTATTTTTAGTAGAGATGGGGTCTTGCTCTTGCTCAGGCTTGTCTTGAACTTCTGAGCTCAAGCAACATACCACCTGCCTTGACCTTCCAGAGTGCTAGGACTATAGGTGTGATCCAGCCAGGTGTGCTGGCCTGATTCCTTCATTTTTTCCATAATCAGTTATACCTTTGTCACACTTCAGCCTGTAATCATTCTGATTCCTTTGTCTTAAACACCAGCCATTCCTACTTCTGGACTCCCACTGAACTCCTATTCATCCTTCAAGACCCAGCTGAAATGGACTCTCCTTTAGAGACTTCCCTATTCCCACTCAGGCAGAACAATTGTTCCCTTCTCTTTTCCCTGTGCCACTTTGTATATGCTGTTGCTGTAGGTTTATTACATTCTTTTGGAGTTATTGCACGTCTCTCCATGGCTGGAGTGTGTACTCCTCGAAAGCAAGGACTCTACTTCTTTTTGTTCCTACAGCACAGGGCCTAGCAGAGAGTTGGAACCTATAAAATGTCCGCTGAACAAATGAATGCAATGATCCCAATTTAGTTCAGCAGCAGAAACCACATGGCATGCACAGCTGCCGGTCCTGGGATCCTACCCTGCCAATGAAAGTGACTTTCTTAACAATCAGGAGCCCTGACCATAGAATTCAAAATCCAGGTACAATGTCTGGTGTTAGGAGGGAGGGCTAAGCTAAGAAAATCTTTTTTACATTACTGCAAACTTCTTTTAGTTTTGTTTTCTAGCTTCCCATGATATTTTCCTGTCTCAGGACAAGCCGTCTGTGAGGAGGGTGAGATGCCACTGAGGCCTGTGAGGTTGCGTGGTCTGTGTCTTGCACCTGGTACTTTATGCTTCAGTGGCGTCCAACTGAGTCTGGGAACTAGCCCACACTCCTTCTGGCATTGCTTTGGGCATAGCCGTGGCATTGCTTAATTGAGCTGGGAAGCCTCAAAACAAAGTTTTAAACTACCCTGATCAAAATGGGAGGGAGGCAGGGCAAGTTCCAACTAGTTAGAGCTAAGATGGAGGAGAAATTGACCGCTTCTTGACCTTACAGCTTCATTATACGCTTCACTACCATAAACGTTTCTAAGGACACCTCCCACTCCCATCATGACACCGTGACACTTTATTCCTACTTCACTGTATTTAGTCAGGAGGAGGTTATCTCTCTAATTCCAGAAAACATGGCCCTGTCCATGAATATTCTTCCCCTTCTTTAGCCTATAATTAAGCTGTTATTTATGTAGAGGAGCTACAGGCACCATGGGGCTGGTTCTCTTATGCAGGGAGAATTAGCATCTGCTCTGTCTGTGGAGTGGACTTTTCTATAGTTTATGAATAAATCTCATTTTTACTTTATACTGTCAGCTTGCTTCTGAATTCTTTCTGGAATGAAAACAAGGACCCACTTGGACCTCAAGAGGCTCCCAGTGTTGGGAGTCAGGTTCCTGTGTCAAAACTGCTTGTAGTTCCCTGAACATATGAATCTAGGGGTTTCCACATAGGGATTCTGAGGAACGCTGGGAATCCCCAAGACCCCTTCAAGGGGTCTGCAAGGTCCTCTCTTTTCCAAGGTCTTCTCTTTTCCAACTTTTTATAGTTTAACTGAAAGAACGTATGGCAGCAAATTGAATGCAGAAGCAAATATGAGAATCTAGCTGTATTTTGTTAAGCCAGACATTAAAAAGATTTGCAAAATCATAAAACTGACATTCTTATTAGACTTTGTTTCTTGAAAATAGGGCTAATGTTCATAAGAATATGTAATTTAGGTTAGCAGGGAATGGTTGACTGTTATTTTTTATTTGCAACGTTTTTTAAAAAGATATGGTCTGTCTCTGTTGCCTAGGCCAGAGTGCAGTGATGCCGTCATAGCTCACTGAAACTATGAACTTCTGGGTTCAGATGATCCTCCCACCTCAGCTGTGCCCTGAGACTACAGGGGCATGCCACCCTGCCTAACTTTTAAGATATTTGTTATAGAGATGAGGTCTTGCTATGTTGCTCAGATTGGTCTCCAACTTCTGGCCTCAAGTGATACTCTCACCTTGGCCGCCCAAAGTGCTGCGATTATAGGCATGAGCCACCGTGCCCAGCCTATTATTTTATAATTACTATTTCTAAGGCTGGGCACGGTGGCTCATGCCTTTAATCTTAGCATTCCAGGAGGCTGAGGCAGGAGGATCACATGAACTTACGAGTTTGAGACCAACCTGAGCAAGAGTGAGACTCCATCTTTATTAAAAGTAGAAAAATTAGCCAGCCCTTGTTCCAGGTGCTTGTAGTCCCAGCTGTAGGGAGGCTGAGGCAGGAGGATTGCCTGAACCCAGGAGTTTGAGGTTGCTGTGAGCTAAGCTGATACCCTGGCACTCTAGCCTGGGCAACATAGTGAGATTTTGTCTCAATAATAAAAGAAAAAAAAAGAATGAATATTCATTCTAAATTTGAATGAATGAATGAATATTTCTAAATTTCTGTTTTAATTTCCTACATGGTAAATATAAAAATTTCTTAAGGATTTTCAATAATTAAAATAGTATAAAGGAGTCTTGAAAGGAAAAAGTCGGAGAACCAGTGCATTAGACTACATCATGCCTCTGGGCCTGTATAGTGCACTCAACCTAGAATACTATTTCTGCTTCCACATTTGCCTGGAAGATGCTACCTATAAATATTCCTCTGGTTCTCCTCTGGAATTGCTTATTCCTTCTTCTTCTTCTTCTTTTTTTTTTTTTTTCTGAGACAGAGTCTCACTATGTCACCCTTGGTAGAGTGCAACCTCTAACTCTTGGGCTTAAGCAATTCTCTTGCCTCAGCCTCCCGGTAGCTGGGACTACAGGCCGCCACAACGCCTTGCTATTTTTTTTGTTATTGTTGTCATTGTTGTTTTAGCAGACCACTGGGCTATGGGCGCCAAGCCTGCTTATTCCTTCTTGTATTTTACTATGTCTTGAAAAGGTTTATTTTTCCTATCTTTGCATTGCTTAGGCTTCTGTCTCCCTTATAAAACCATAAGCTCTCTAAAAACAAAAACGCTGCTTAAAGAATCTCATTATTTTTCAGCGGTAGGCCAGTGCTTGGTACAGTAACATAATCTATGAATATTTGTAGAATGAATGGATAAAATCAAAAGCCTGACCAGTTCTGCCATTAACTAGCTGTGTGGCTTTGGGCAAGTTACTTGACCTCTCTGAGACTGTTTCCTCATAGGAAACATGTGAGGATTGGACTAGATTGCCTGTAAAGTCTCTTCTCATTCTGACATTCATGTTTGGACTGATCAGTGTGTGTGTACTGGCTTGGATGAATATTGGTATGAATCTCATACAAAAATAGTTGACATTGATCATATTCAGTCATATAAACTACATTAGGATATATTAGGATCTTCTTTCTTTTCTTTAAAAAAAATTAAAACATGGGAATTCTTACCACTTTTGGTTCTGTGTCTTCCCTTGTGTAGCAGAGTGACCTGAGGGGATGACCATATATTTCCTGTGATGTGTTTGACCTCTAGGTCTGAGCACCATGCTCCTATGTTCTACCTCTTCCCAGCTTACCCTTCAGTGGTGGGGAAAAAACACCCTCTTTTAATGTGATGCTGTGGAAAGAAGAAAAATGGGATGGGAACTCAGAATCCCATGAGCTTCATTAAAGATTTCATTCCCTCACCTTCCAGGTGCTGTCAGAGGCCTGAATCAGGGTGGACAGTAGGTCTTGGAGAACCACCATTTTCTGTTTTAGGACCAGCTCCCTCTGTAGGGCCTCCTGGTGAGCAAAATGCAAGAAGGTAAGATTAGCCTGGAGGAGGAAGGATTGAGAAACTGAGGGGAGAATTCCCATGCCACTTACTTTTAGGTATTCAGAAAGCTGGATGATTTCCTAGAGAGAAAGAAAAAGCATATTCAGAAAGATTCTAGGTCCCCGGAAATTCTGGGATGTAAAACCAGAGCCTGGGTTGGCTTGTATAGAGCAGACCCCTCTGGCTTGAGTCTGACAGGGTCTCTTTAGGCCTATGTCTATGCTTAGTGTCTCCTTACCATCCAGGAAGAGCCCCCCCACCCCCCATCCTCCCAGTCTTGGCCTGAGTGGAATTCCAGAATGTCAGCGCTTAGCTGCTGCCCAGTAAAACCCTTTCAGATAGAGGTTCTTACCTTATCCAGAACTGCAACTCCAAAACTGGGGAGAGAAGACATAAAAAAAATAATAATGGATCACATTATCAAGCAAGTCAGGAGGTAGAGGGCTGCTTCCTTCTGGGATCCTTTCTGAAGAGCCAATAGTGTAGGGAAAGTTTTCCTCTTTCTTAGTTAAGGTGGACATAGAGAGTCATTGTGCTCTCTCTCCACCTACTGAGTGGAAGTGTTCAAGTAAAACCTTAGAAGAGGAGTGGATGGAATATGAGGGGCTTACGGGCAGGAACACAAAAGCAACTCACTTGGTTTGCTGACTGGCATCGTTCTTAATTGTTGGCTGTGCTGCTTCTGCCTTGGTCTGAGTACCTGAGAGGTGGGGGTATGGTGATACAGAAGCTATGGGAGGATGTGAGGGAAGTGGGGAGGGACAGGGACTCTACTGCCGGTGAGGGGGACTGCTGTGGCAGCATTCTCTGCAGAGGGGGGGTTCTGCTTTTACCACGGTGGTATCTGGGTGTCTTCTTGATGGGACAGTCTTGTGGTAGAAGATTCCCAGTCTGTGAGGAGAAGTGGTCAACTGGATCCCTCTGGATGCCTGAGGGAGTAGAGTGCTGGGCTGGAAAGACCTCAGAGCTGGTCCTTGCCACCTGGAAGGCAAGTAGGGGATACTGGGAGCCACCATCTAGACCCTGTAGAAGATTCTCCTGATGATTATAGAAAGATGAACCAGTGATTATGTTTGTTATGGACTGAATGTGTCCCCCTAAAATTTATAGTTAAAATCTTAACTCATAATGTGATAAGATCAGGAGGTAGAGACTTTGAGAAGTAATCAGTTCAGAGGGGAGAGAGCTTGCTTCCTGTCTCTGCTCTCTACCATGTGAGGATACAGTGAGAGGATGGCCGTCTGCACCCCAGGAAGAGTGTCCTTATCAGCCACCAGATCTGTCGGGGTCTTGGTCTTGGACTTCCAGCCTCCAGAACTGTGAGATCAATTCCTATTATTGAAGCCATCCAGTCTATAGTATTTTCATAGCAGTCTCAACAGACTCAGATAATGTCTCAGATTCAAAAGAGCCACAAGGCTACTCCTGTTCCCATCATCCTCATCCTGGCTGGCAGAGTGGTTCTCCTCAGGCCAGCTTTTCTCTCTAGAACCCCTGGTGTACCTTGTTTGGTCTCAGCCAGTTCCACAGCCAGCATGGTGATGTGCAGAGGGAACTGGCCTGAGTGGGGCGTGAGGGGATCTGGGTTCAGAGCCCACCTCTCTGAGGTCTCAGTCTCCTGTCTGTGTAGTGACGGTTTGGAATAGATGATTCCTGAGGTCCCTTCCTTCTAGTGCTTCCTTCCTCCTAGTAATAGCTGGAAAATCACTAAGGTTTGTGTGAAGAGAAGATAAAGTAGGGAGTTGTTGGGAGGGAGGTAGTAGTAGCAGCCACAATTTAGTCTGTGCTTTTTTCTGTTTTCTTTCATAGACTTAAAAAGTCTATGTTGGTAACATAACACTAAAAGGCTAAGAAATGCTTATGATATCCAATCACATGGACTAACTCTGTCTCAGCAAGACCTTAAATAACTGGTAGGCAGGAGTAGAGTTCTTAAGTTAACTGTATATTCTGTTCTTTTTCTCCAGAACTCCATACCTCCAAAAAAAAAAAAAAAAAGAAGCCTGGCTTGGTGCCTATAGCTCAAGCGGCTAAGGCAGGTTTGAATCTAGCCGGGGCCTGCCAAACAACAACGATAACTACAACCAAAAAATAGCTGGGAGCCTATAGTCCCAGCTACTTGGGAGACTGAGGTAAGAGAATCACTTAAGCTCAGGAGTTGGAGGTTGCTGTGAGCTATGATGCCACAGCACTCTACCCAGGGCAACAGCTTGAGGCTCTGTCTCAAAAAAAAAAGCTAAAAAAAGCATACAGAAACCTTGTCTAGAAAGTACAGAGTTGGTTTTCTTTTGCACTTAGGCTCTGGGATCATTTCTCTGCATAGCACTTCCTATTCAGCAAACAGATCACTGGTTAGGGAGCATGATGGAGCACCTGCTCTGGGTACAGCACAATGCCAGGCATTTCTAAGCATTTCTCGGCAATACAGTAGACCTAGTCCTGCTCCCAACGTGGGTAGGAAGACACAGCTGCTCTTCTGCTAGAGGTCATCTCACTTCAACATACACTGGTTTTCACCAACACCATTCCTTCCCAGGCCAGACTAATGGGCTCTGTGAGAGTTACACAATTGTAGAGGATTTATAACCTCACAAAGCCCATGGAGAGCAGAGGTGTCCTGAAGAAGCCAGGCAAAGCTTCCTGGACCAGATGAGCAATAGCTGAGTAGGCTTAGTAGAACTGGAATGATGTAAGAGAGAGAAGATAAGGGAAATGGCCTGGCAGAAGAATAGAGGACAGGTGTGTGTGTGTGTCTTGGGAGAGGGAGCACCAAGAGCATAGGCCTTGGTACCTGGCATATAATAAGCATTCAGTAAATGCTTGATGACTAATGAGTGAATGGACGCTCTAAGATAGCTGCAGAAGATATGTATAGATTGCCCAAATTTGAATTGATACTAGGTATTAACTTCGGAATTATTTAAAAGTTATTTTTTCCCTTCTAAAAGGAAAGTGCAAATAAAGAAAAGCTAAACAAAAACATAACAACAAAAATCCCTAAGTGGCTAAAGGAGACTTTACTATATGACTGAGGAGGAATGGATTTAATTTAAATCACTTTTTAGTGACCTTGAGCCTGCCCACCCTCCTTGGAAACCCCCTTTACCCTGCATGGAGCAGTGTGTGCCTTGCTATGACCCACCTGCTGTCTGGGGGTCGAGCTCCTGCTGGCACAAGACAAGGGCTCCTTGAGGGCAGTCTCGCGGCCCAGCCTCCTGGAGAGCCCTTGCTCTGGGGGTTGGTGATGCCGTGCCTTGCCCTTCTCCTCCAGTTCCAGGTTCCTCCTCCGGAGGAACTGCTGCAGTCGAGCTCTCTGGAGCTGCTCTCTCTGCTGGGCCCGCAGTGCCTTCCCCACCTGGCGGCAGGTGGTCACGTTGGGGCGGCAGCGGCGGCTTTCACGGGTCTCCTGCCTGCGCTCGCACTTGGCCTCGTAGCTCTCGGCCCACCAGGCCAAGCCAGGGGAGGGCCTGGGGTTGGGGCTGATCATGATGACCTCCCGGGCACCTGTTGTGCTTGGCTTCCAGTTCCTGGAATAGCTGCCTGGATCTGCCAAATGCCAAGAGGGAGGGGAATGGGAGGGGTCAGAAGATGGGCAGAAAATGTCTATCTCCCAAGGGGTGGAGTGGTACCGAGTTCCTTCCATCCATGTGGGTTGAAAAGTGCGACATGATAGTGCCAAACTGGGAGTCAGAACTCCTGGAATCAGTCGCTAATGTACTAAGACAATCTAATAGAAGTGAATTCTTGCTCCTCTCTAGTTTGTGTGCCCCACTCTATAAAGTGGAAGGGTCTCTCTGGCTGCTGTTCCTTCTTTGGCTGAACATCTCACCATGCCTCTACGTTAGAGGAACATGAGAAATAATTGATAATAATCATAATGAACTTATAGCCTCTTGGGTGGCAGATGTGTGCTCATTTTCCAGACTTCTAGAGAAACAGTTAAATTGAGCCCCCGCCTCCCGCCCCGTGTAAAAAGAAAGTCAGCGTCTTTATTGCTCTCTTGGCCCAAGTTATTACGTAAATAGCTGAGTGATACTTCTCAAGGCCCAGAGGAATGACCAGATCTCCCCTCAGGATGTGACCAGGCCTGCCACCAGCACCCACTGCTCTGGTCCTAGCTGTGAGCCTGGGCTTTGCATGGTTAAGGAGGGAAGTCCCACCCTAATTCCTTCATCCTGACATGGGCCCAGGGGCACCCCACTCTAAGACCAGGACTGGGCTCTGCTTCTCAGGTGCACTCAGTTAGTATTGTACCTGCCACATGCCCAGTGCTGACCAAAATCCATTTCAGAGTGTGGCTCAATAACTCTTGGAGCTGTGGGTCCTATCCTTTAGGATCAGGGCTAAGTCTGGTGCCAGGTCTGTGTTCCTTAGCCCAGATGAAGATCCTGCCATCTAAACCAGCAAGCATATGAATTATACCTCAATAAGACTGCTACAGACAGAGAAGAAAAATAGTAACCAGTAGTTTCCATAGGACACCTCTCTGCATGGCCTTCTCTGGTACTGACACAGCACCCAACCCAAATCTCTCTTCTTTCTTTGTGCCTTCCTTTCTCTTTCCTACCATTCCCACATACCTTCAGTGAAATTTGCTTATTTTCCTGTTGGTAGGCTTGCTGAGTTGGAGCTGGCTTGGATGAGCTGGATCCCAAGCACGGAAATTCCGTGCCCTTCCTCCTCTGATGTCTGGAGTCAGACCGGGGGCCTCTGAAGGAAGAGGGATTCCCCTTACAGCTGCTGCTGCTTCTCTCCCTCCCACAACCCACCACCCCAGAGCTTGAGTTCCTGGGCAGGTCAGAGAAGGGCTCTGCAGCTTCAGCAACCAGCAGGCACTTGCCGGTTCCAAGCTCCTGGGGTTAGTTTATAGGCCAAACACGGCCAAAGGGGCAGCCTCTTTGCCCCTTTGCTGGGACTTGGCTGCCCATCTTGGCTCAGTCCAGAATTCTCTGCAGGATTCCTGTTTTCTCTCTGGTCTTGCCACTCATTCCTTGGGGTCATGGGTGGGGCATTCCCCTTCCCTAAGTAGGGTCTTATGTGATCAGGCCCTGGATACTCTTGAAGGGTGGAGGGGCATACCCCCTGGTCTTGGGCAGTGCTGACTCCAAGTAGAATTGTGAGGTTGTACATACCATCCGTGAATGGCTCTCTCTTTAGGCTTTTCTCCTCACTCCTACTTCTTAGGTGGGGGTTGGGGACCCCTGACTTCTCACCTGCCAGTTTCTTTATATAAAATCTTAGAAAAGGATCCATCAATATTAAGTTACAAATGACCGAATGACAGAGACTCAGGAGTATGTGCACATGAACTCCAGGTCCAGAACCAGCACTTGTGGCATCCCTAAGCCATAGCCCCTGCCATTGTGCCATGGATAGTGGAGGAGAGTCTTATTCGGGAGTCACACTGTGTGGACTCATACCCTGGCTCTGTCACCTACCAGCTATGTGTAATTTGGGACAAGTAAGCAAACACCTCTAAACCAAGAGTCCTCATTTATACAATGGGGCTAGAGCCTACCTTGTAGGTTATGAGGATTAAACGAGAAGATGCACACCACACACCTGGCACAGAGCACACAATAAATGTTAGCCTTTTTTTTGGACAGGGTCTCACTGTATCATCCAGGCTAGAGTGCAGTGGCATCAGCATAGCTCACTGTAACCTCGAACTCCTGAGTTCAAGTGATCTTCCTGCCTCAGCCTCCTGAGTAGCTGGGACCACAGGCACATGCCACCACACCTGGCTAATTGTTCTATTTTTTTGTAGACAGGGTCAGTCTTGCTCTTGCTCAGACTGGTCATGAACTCCTGGCCTCCCAAAAGTGCTAGGATTATGAGCCACCACACCCTGCCAAATGTTAGCTTTTTATAATAAAGAATATTCTTATTAATATTACTATCCTTGCTGTGCTGATGTTGGATGCTGAAGACCTATAAGGCAAAGGCCCCAAGCTAAACCAGCACTCCCAGGACCAAGAATGCCTTATCTCATCCTTTAATTCCCCTAACCCTCTCTCTCTTTGAGGAAGTATATTGCTTACCGATTGAGGGGATTCTGGCCCCCGGCCAAAATCACATTTACTTCTTAGTTTCACCTGACCTCTGGGTTTGGGGTACCAACAGAAAAGACTCCTCTGTGATCTGGGCATAATCAGCATTCTAATCAGGCCAGGCAGAAAGGCAAAGAAGTCCTATGGTGGGGCCTGCCTAAATTGCAGGGCTCCAGGTTACCTGCTGGCTCTGCAGGGGAGGCAGATCCCCTGATCACTGAGAATCCTCTTATCTTCCTGCTGTGAAGAGGAGGAGAGCTATGGGGAGAAGATGGGTCCTGAGATGAGGTCTCTCTGGCTGCCATCTAAGCCATCCACCTTAGTCCAGTGAGACACATGGCTTGGTTCCTTGCTGCCTCAGGGCAAGACATTGAGACTTCTTACCCAAGAGGGCAGCTGCAGTAGAAATAGCTTCTTAGAGAAAGAAGTGTTCTCACACCGTCAGGCTGCTACATCTGCTAGGCTTTGGTGTACCAAAACCAAGAGGAACCATACCCAGGACTCTGGGATGTCATGACTGTGCTGACCTGCTTAAAAATAAGAAGCCATGTGGGGTGGCTGACTGAGATATGCTGCAAAGAAAAAGGGAACTGGTTTCTGTAGGGTTCAGAGAAAGATCACTGGGCTGCTGCCCAGGCTTTCTGGCATCTCTGAGGTTCCCCCTGGCAGCATGGCAGGGCTAAGTTAGTTGGAGCTTATGGGAAGAGGTGCGGGGCTCTCCTCACTGCTGCGTGGGGAGAACAGGGCACTGCCCTTCACCAACTGGGGCTTGTCACTGCCTTTCCAAGTCTCTGCTCTTACTTCCTGGCCACATGTGCAACAGAGATGGTGAATGGTTTCCTGCCTGGGTCTGGCCTTCCTGGTCTAGAGCTCTCAGTGTGAGCAGAGGACAGACTGGCCTGCACCTAAGCTGCTAGAAAGGCAGCTTCCTGTTATAGGGATCTCTGCTTTTAAGAGAATGGTAAGAGGTCATTTATGTCCCCTTCATAGGGTAACCTGAACCCTAAGTCATTTAACTCCCTCCTCATCTAATCAAACCCACTGGATAAGAGCAGAGGAATGATGGAAGCTGTACCCCTGTGCCATGGATAGTGCCTCGGGAAGCCGACCCAGGACCCTTTGTTGGCTATCTGAACCTCCAAGGCTCTGAAACGTCACCACCCGTTCCTGTGCCTCCCTCTTCACCCAGGGAAGCTTGCATGGTAGAGTGCCTTCTGCCCCACCCCAAGGTTGAAGGTCCCAAACCTGGACACAAAACCATGTTCCCTCTGAGTTACCTCCGGGTTCTGGGCTCCAGCCCTAGCAGCTCAGGAAAGCATTGCAGCTCCTGGGCAGATCTTGACGCTGGTCGCAAGACAGCAGCTGGGTGATGCATAAACTCTCAATTGATGGCTATGGGCCCCATTAGCATTTCCCTTCTTGGTACTTACTGTCTTTTTTTTGCATAGAAACCTTGCTGAAACAGGAAACAGAAAAAACCACAGGGCTCACAAAACCCAGTTCCTCTCTCCACTCTCTGGCAGGATTTGAGTGGGTCTCTGAACCATGGGCTGGCTTCAGGAGCTCCTCCCATTACTGGGCACCCCAGACACCTTTTTTCCTTGCTACTGCATTCATCCAAGTGTTTCAAGTCAAGATTCCTTTTCAGGATTAGACAAGGATGGGCCTCTGGTCAGAGTCAAACCTTTGCAGTTTCTATGAGGGGAAAAGCGCCTTTTAATGGTTGAGACCTAATGAGATGTCCTCCATGTAGATTCTCCTGGGCATCACATAGCTCTCCGTGTAAGGATTTCCCCTTTCCTTGAGTCCCCTTGTCCCAATCCTGCTGTTGTAAAGAGCTTCTGCTCCTCTAAAGTACCTGGTATCTTTCTCAGGATTCTGGAATGAGGCCAGCTCTGGATTTACTCCTTCCTGAAGCCCTGAGGAGAGGGTGAAAAGTGGGTGTCTAGGGGATGAAGGAAGGAATATCAGGCAGAGTCTTATAAAAAACATGTTCCCAGTCAATTGGACTAGGAAATTTGGGGGAAAACTAAAGGGAACTGATCTGCATGCATTAAAAAGAATCCATTACAAGTGATTTTATTACAAATAATTTAGTCAGGAAATTCCCAAGAAATTCAGGAGAAAATAGTGGAGAGGAAACTGGATTGGGACAAGTTAACTAAGCAGCTTTGTAACCTTGTGTAGCTCACCTTGTCTGAATGATCCACTCAATATGGTGACTGGAAGATACACGTGGCTTCTATGGATTCTAAGAGTTGACACATAGGAGGCAGCAAATGAGACTTTTAAATAGCTGTGATAACATTTATTAACATGTGGGCAATTTTTCACCATCTTCTATGATGCTGCTGCTTCCTCTGTTCTCTGAGGAGTAAAAGGACATCCCTCGGGAGGAGAGACAACAGCTCAAGGCCCTGTGTCTGGAGCATAATACATGGAGGTGGGAATGACAGAGAGGTTGGGGAGCCCAGTAGCTGAATAAGAGAATTTTATTTGGCATAGAAAAGTGAGAAAATTTATGGCAAGAGAGCACAGGAGAGGAAAGGCAGTCATAGTAGGAATTCCTATGCACAAACTCTCTGGACTCCATTAAAAATCAGGAAAAATATGTACAAAGGTCAAAATCTCATGAGGGCTATGCACTTACTGGGGTACAACGCCCATGTTAACCGAGGTTTGAAGAGGTTAGTGACATACTCAAGAGATCACATGAGTGTTAGACCCAGGTTTGCTTGACAGTAGAGCCTGGACTCTAGTACATTGTAAGAACAAAACAATTAATAATGGTGACATACCCACCTAGCTATATCAAGAGAAAGAAAAGAGTAAGACACACATACACACACACAGAACTTTGGGAAGAGAGAATATACTTTATTTTCAAATGTGCCTGAAGCATTAAAAAACTAACCATATTGATAAAAAAAGTAAACTTTAGCACACTTTTTATTAAGTTGACCTATTATAGCAGGTTTTCCTGACCCTAGTACAATAAAATTGAAATAAATAACTAAAATGGGAAGAAACACTTCAGGTTCTTGGTAAAAAATTCTCCCAGTTTACTGTTGAAATATAGAAGGTATCAAATTTGCATTTAAGAATGCACTGAGCCTGGGTGCGGTGGCTCATGCCTATAATCTTAGCACTTTGGGAGGCCAAGGAGGGAGGATCACTTGAGGCCAGGAATTCAAGACCAACCTGAGCAAGAGCGAGACCCCAATCTCCACAAAAAATTAGAAACAGCCACATGTGGTGGTGCAGACCTATAGTCCCAGCTACTTGGGAGGCTGAGGCAGGAAAAGGGCTAGGGGGTTGAGGATGCAGTGAGCTATGACACCAGTGTGCTCTATCTCAGATGACAGAGCAAGGCCCTATCTCAAAACAAAAAAGAAAACAAAATCAAACAACAAACCAGAAAAAGAATGCACTGAAAATAATGGTAATGGGAACAGCCAAGGCATGACTTAAGGAAAATTGATAGCCTTAAACATTTTCCTTACTTAAATATGGAAGATTAAAAATAAATTACCTATTCATTTGTCTTTAAATAAATTTCTAAAAAATGGTCAGAAAAACCAAGGAAAAGAGGTGATAATTAAAAAGAAATATAAGTAAATAATATAATACATTAGAATCCTGAGCAGAATTAATAAATAAATCCAGGAGCTTGTTCTTGCATGTGTACATATGGCAGGGGTTAGAAATATCCACAGAAAACAAAATCAGTAAAGTAAACTACCAGCTGGTTAAATCAA